CACCCAAAGTGGGATGGATGCCGTCTCTGCTAATCAGACCAGGTTTCCCCCAAAATGTTTTCCAGTTGTCTATGAAGCCCACGTTATTTTCTGGGCACCACCTAGACAGCCAGCGGTTGAATGACGACATGCGGCTAAACATGTCATCACTGGTCACATTGGGTAGGGGTCCAGAGAAAACTACGGAGTCCGACATTGTTTTAGCGAAGTTACACACCGACTCAACATTAATTTTAGTGACCTCCGACTGGCGAAGTCGGGAGTCATTAGCGCCGACGTGAATAACTGGCCTATTCTCCATGGTGTGGAGCCGTGCTTCTAAGTCTGTGAGCCCCGCCTCCAATGCTGCTAGCATCTGACATTTATTACAAGTACCATTATCGCTAAAGGAGGCAGAGGAATAACTGAACATGCGACAGTCCGAGCAAGAGAAAGGAGGAGAGGAAGAGGGGGAAGCCATTGCTCTCGATTAAGCTACTAGCTTAGCTAGCTTCTAAACTAGCCGACCTAAAGTAGCAAGTTAAATTTGGTAGTTAGCAAGAACTTCTGCAAAACAAGTGCTTTAAGTGGTGCAAGCGTATGTTGTCACTCAAAAATTCAGATGAACCTAGAAAATAGTGAGTTTAATTCATAAACAATCTGGAAGGAAGCACAACGCAGTGCAAATACAGAAAACAGGAAATGAGTACGGTTTACCGCAGGAAACAGCAGTCCGTCAAAGGTTCACCCAAAAATGTATGCTTTGAATTTTTAGCTTGGCTCAAGTCCCATGCACTAGCATGGAGAGGGCGGGGTTTATGGTCCACACTGAAACCACCCACCAGGGGGCGACTAATTCGTCGGCCATTTTTATGTACAGTCCGTGGAATAAATGGACAAAAGTACTAAACAGTCCAGATGGATGCCTGTATGAACTGCAGCTTAAACCGACTCAAATGTACATGCAAGGAAATAATGATATAGATAACACTGTCATTTTAAGTCACTACTAAGCCATGACTTCCACTGTTGTGTTTAATTGCTTCAGCTGTTCTGTAACAGAGTGCTGCAGCCACTCGTGTTTGCTTAAGGATGATAGGAATGAAGTGATGGATGACTTTTGTTAGGCTATCAGCGACAAGAGGAGGCTGTGAAAAATAAAAACCAAAAGTTGCTGGAGAAAGCAAAATTCAGATAGGTAATTAAAACACAGCACATTCTAGTTTTGGGTGTTTTCAGGTGTTTGGAAATAATATTAAAGTAAAAGGATAAGAACAAAACAAACACCCTCAGAAAACTAATATTCCAAACTGTTGCAGCAGTGTCACAGTGATGGCTCCTTTTTTCTTCTCAAAGCAGCATCTACTTGACTTTATGAGCTGTAATGAAGCCAAGTGAGACACGGCCAACAGGAAGACAGTGAGTCTGATTAAAATTTTCTGTTTCAGGTTAGAAACAGAAAAAAACCGTAAATATCTCCAGAAAGGAGCTCGTTCAACACCAGGGGCAGTTCTCTAATTAGAAATGTCTAAAAGCAGCAACAATCAAAGAAATGTGAGCAATCTATTCATTCTGTTCTTACATAATGAAACACAGAAACACACTCACTACCACCACTACTAGTACTACTACTGCTACTAGTGCTACTAGGAGCGCACACAAACGTTACCATGGTGAAGAGGTATGCTGCTGGCCGGCCAGGTGAAGGGTCTTGGGCCGGGCGGCGGAGCAGCTGCCCGCATTAGCCGGCCGCTCCCAGTAGGGGTCACTGTGAAACACAAAAACGTGAAGAGGTTCTTTAATGACAGCCATAAGAGACAAGGAGCAGGAAAAGAAGTGGGAGGGAAAGTAGATGTAAGCAAGAGAAATGATGGATAAGAGGGAGCAGACGTTGAGAGAAAAAAGAAAGCAAGAGGAGAACACTGAGATATAAAGTCAAAAATAATCACGCAGACATCACAACCTGTGCAACCAATTACAGAACGTGGAATTAATGGCTGTAAAATATATTTAGACAAGCAGTAAATGATAATAAGGTAATGGCTTCATGAGGAACAATTGGGCATTTCTAGCTCAGTGGGCAAAAAAAGGCGCAGACCTTCCTACTAAACTCAAACACACTTAAAAACCTGGTGTGGGCTTTAGACTCATCCTCTATGGAAACAAACAGAGGAATGGACCTCAGCTTTATCCTTGATTTAACAAGTAGTAACCACAACTGGTCACTACAGGCTCAGGCTGTGCAGCAAAATGTTCTAATTTACAGAGAATTGTTGTTGTTTTTTTATTACAGAAGAGATCCCCCCAAAGTTTCCCAAAAATACTCTATGTCAGGATGAATTTTGTTGGGTTTTTTTTTATTACAGAAGAGATCCCCCAAAGTTTACCCAAAAATACTCTATGTCAGGATGAATGTTGGGAAAATGTGTAAACCACAATGAACAAGACATCTGGGATATTTCCACTTGGTGGACCAGTGTGGAGTCTGTGAACATGGACCCGCTCAGGGATCCCAGAACATGAGCTGTGGGGTTCCTGGTCTTTCCCACTCTGTGCACACCATTTATCTTTATTCGACTGCCTTTGAGTAGGCTATTCAGACTCTGCATACCTTTGTGAGTACGTGGACACAGACGAGGGACACACACGTGTCCTATTCATACTTCAATTCGAGGGTCTCTTCCGTCTGTGTACACCTTTATTTTTCAAGCACTGTGGTACATGCACACTCTGGGTGTTTTTAGTTGAACAGAAAAATTGTTGGCGTGCACGCGGATGTCCACACATAGTCTGCACAGACCCTCATGGACCTGGGACGATGATGAAAACTGTCCTGAGACATTAGTGGACATTGGACACAGACAGTAGAATCTGTCCTTAAGAACGGCACGCAGTGGACTACACATGAACGCTACCAGAAACTACACTGATGTTCTGGACATAGCTGAGATTTAGGAGGTGTGTGCGTCAGATTTTCTGCAACCATCAGCAACGTACACTTCCCCATAAACCCCTTCACATCAAGACTGGGCCTCAACTCAGAGGTCTAAACCTCTGCTCAAATTAAACTTCTGGTTTTGTAAAACCTCCTTTGCCCTTGTGTAAGAATACGACTATTTATCAGTGTGCTCAAGCTAAACTTTGGTGTTGGCTGGTAAAAGTGTCTGGTGAGTCTGGAGATGTACCTGCCACCGCGGCTGCTTGGGTAAAACAGCTCCTGCCTTTGGAAATATTCACTGAAATAAATAAACCCCCAGTTTGATGGTGTTTTTTGAAAAGCTAAACGCTGCCAACTGGGACTCAACAGGCAGGCGAAGTGACACGGAGTCAAATACAAAATACAACGCAGCCCCAGAGTGACTGTCTATGCATAGTGAATTATTTGAATTTTACACACCCACCAAAGACAGGCTGTCAAAACCCATGCCGGAATGGATTTTTCATACAGAGCGAGGGAGCGAGAGAGAGTCGAGGAGAGTAAAAGACAGAAGAAGAGAAGGAATAGGAGGCGGAAAGAGGGCGAGAGACACCGGGAGAGTCAGGGAGGAGGAGGAGGAGGGAAGAGGGGAGGCAGTGAAGCAATGCTTGCTTGCAGGAGAACATTAGCTGCACTGTGTAGCGCACCATAAAACCATTGACATTGTCGGTCTTGCTTTGTGGACGAGTATTATTGTAAAACAGTTTTCTGAGGTGAGCCGGCCGCTATTGTTCTTGTCAGAGGGTGAAGCGAGGGCACCGCCAGCATAACTTATTTCAGTTTTAAAGCTACAAGAGAAGGCAGACAGAGTTGGTTTTCAAATTAAAGGACTGCGATGTAAGCCCAGAGATTGTATTACTTTTAGATTTGATCTCTTGATGCATGACCAGGAAACATACCGCTGCTGTCGGGGAGGGGGAAAGAAGGCAGCGATCTACAGGAAGAACAGCAGGTTTGTTTTTTCTCTGCGATCGCTCTACTTCACTGATTATACAACAAGGAGGAGACGCAGAGTCTGACTCAACACAAATGATATCAACCTTCTGTCCATGTAACTGAGCCAGTGGATTATTACAGTTTGAGTATTTGCTACCTCATGACTGCACAGTGCATGACATTAACAAAAGGGAACCCTAGGAGAAGTTGATAAATGGTCATATTTCCAAACTGTCTCATCACATCTGACGCTGTACAGTCCACTGATTACACATTACCGAGGACGCTGATTGTTCTATTTGCTATTATCGGAGAGGTTGAGGTTGTGCTCAAAGACGATCAAAATGTTCCAGAATATTCAGATTTTGGAAGTGTTTTATAAAGAAGGAACTTTTTTATCATGTAACGTGTACATGGAACCGTTCATACAAAGATACTCCTACAACGATAAGTTAACACAAGACAAATGAGAAAACATACCAAAAGCAAGGACAATAAATCTACCCTTTTAAATCTTTTTTTGCTAGAGGCGGAGCTATTCTGTAAATATGTAAATACATAACAAGTTTTGCGTTGTTTGTCGTTTGTCTTTGCTGTTGTGGCCTTTCCACACAAGTCCAGGATCAAATCTTCAAGCTTCAATGTTATGAGCTATGTTTGTTACTATAAGGTGTAAGAATCTTCAGTGATACCGTAAACAACACGGACATGAACGACACTGTACTATATACAGTATGTCTAGAATCCTTCTCTCCTTTCCTCTCTCCTTTCCTCTCTGTGCCTTCCTCTCCATCAGTTCTTTCTCATCACTTCATTTTTCAAAACCTCAGCTCCCTCACTATCTTGTCCTCTCTCTCTCTCCACCCAGCCCTCTTTTTACAAATCACTCTATTCTCCTGAAATGCCTCTCCTTTCTCCTTCAGTCTTCCAGCATTAAATCCTTCTCTCTGTCTTTGCTCCGCCCTCTGTCCTCTCTGTCTTTGCTCCACCCTCTGTCCTCTGTCTTTGCTCCGCCCTCTGTCCTCTCTGTCTTTGCTCCACCCTCTGTCCTCTGTCTTTGCTCCACCCTCTGTCCTCTGTCTTTACTCCACCCTCTGTCCTCTGTCTTTGTCCTCTGTCTTTGCTCTGCCCTCTGTCCTCTGTCTTTGCTCCACCCTCTGTCCTCTGTCTTTGCTCCACCCTCTGTCCTCTGTCTTTGTCCTCTGTCTTTGCTCCAGCCTCTGTCCTCTGTCTTTGTCCTCTGTCCTCTCTGTCTTTGCTCCACCCTCTGTCCTCTCTTTCCATCCACAGTGATACCTTCAAGTGTCTTTGTCATCGTGGGAAGTGGACCAGTAACTGAGGTGCATCAAACACACAAAAAAATCAGCTATACACACATTAAATCAGCAGTACAACTGAAGGCACACAAATCAACTACACAAACAGACGTGCACACAGACTTGCATAATAGCGCACACACTGGCACACAAACAGAAATTCAATAACTTGAGTATAAACACAGTTGCTGGCTCACGCACACTGATACACACGCAAAAACAGACACTTATGGGTAAATGCACACCGAGATGCACATAAGCAAGTAAGTACACACACACACACACACACACACACACAAGGTACACACTCCATCAGGCCAAAATGGCAGTGGTGGGAGGCAGTACAATGGGTATTGCCGGGCGCCGGCAGAGCTAAATTGCAGACAGCGAAGGAGAGATCTGGGCCATTTTTCAAGGCTGACTATATATTACAAATTGGCTACCAGGGCCTTGTCTGAGAATACACACACACACACACACACACACAGTGCGAAACTAATCCTGGCTTGTCCTATTGTCGCCCACAGAGCCGCAGAAATCTGCCCTTTTCCCTCTTTTTCGACAATTTCCCCAGAATAAACCATATGATTGAAAATGTGCCCGTTTAGCGAGCAGCGCCATACACGCAAGCAAACATACAACACACACAAACACCTTAACACTCCAGAAACACACAAACAAGCTCCTGCTCCCTTGTTTATGGGCTGTAACCCCTCTGTTTGCTATGAGAATGTTCAAATACTTCCAGGGCAGGGTCAAATCTACACCCTGTGTATTTACACACATAATACACTCGTAATACACACCCACACTCTTTGTCCCCAGCCAGGAAGGACATGTTAGCCCAGGTTTAGCCACTCAGTCGGACTCCGGTGCTGCAGTAAAGCTGAATTTAGATTTGGGCATCGCTGCACATATACGAACTAGGAGTTAGAATGTTAACGGGGTTAGGATGTTCTCAGACATGTGAGTACCTGTTAGCAGACCAACAGCAGGCAGCTACGTCTCCGTCAACTTACGTGGAGGATGCGCAGCTTCGCACCAAGATTAGCTGAGATTTAAGAGGTGTGTGTGTGTGTCAGATTTTCTGCAACCATCAGCAACATACACTTCCCCATAAACCCCTTCACATCCACACTCCATCAGGCCAAAATGGCAGTGGTGGGAGGCAGTACAATGGGTATTGCCGGGCGCCGGCAGAGCTAAATTGCAGACAGCGAAGGAGAGATCTGGGCCATTTTTCAAGGCTGACTATATATTACAAATTGGCTACCAGGGCCTTGTCTGAGAATACACACACACACACACACACACACACAGTGCGAAACTAATCCTGGCTTGTCCTATTGTCGCCCACAGAGCCGCAGAAATCTGCCCTTTTCCCTCTTTTTCGACAATTTCCCCAGAATAAACCATATGATTGAAAATGTGCCCGTTTAGCGAGCAGCGCCATACACGCAAGCAAACATACAACACACACAAACACCTTAACACTCCAGAAACACACAAACAAGCTCCTGCTCCCTTGTTTATGGGCTG